TTTGATTCTTGTAACGTGTTTTTCAATTATGTTCGTTATTTTATAGACTTGATGTATGGTCGAGTGCCTTTCTGTGAAGTCAAAATGGTGGGATGGAATTAAGTTTTTGTCCTTTATAATTGATTTCAACCTTTAAAGTAATAATGTCGAACAGTTTAGAAATTACTGAAAGTAAGGAGATTGGCCTGTAGGACAAAACCTCACTTGTTGGTGGTTTTCCAGGTTTAGCGATCACTCTCTGCTACCTTCTACATGAATAAGTCAGAATGAGACAGTAATAAGATAGGCAAGTTTAACTAAGGCTTTTCTAGAAAGTTGCTTTAAAACCTCTGCGGTTACTCAATCATACCCAGGAGCTTTCTTAGGGTTGATGTTTTCTTTTGTTTCATTCGCTTCTTTTGGTGTAGTTGGTCTAATTTCATTTTCCTCCTGCACAAGGTTTCCCCAATCAATTGTGCTTTCGAACTTCGTTTGGCTGGAATGGCGTTTCAAGATATTTAGTAAATTTATTAGTTTTCTGTGAATTAATTTTTGCCCAACTGCCATTCCTTATTGGAGGGTTTTACAAAATCGATCTTTTTAGTATCGCAGCGGTTGTCCAGAGTAAATAGTCTGTTTTACTGTCAAATGACAATTTACTTCGATAGTGACTAATTGTCTCATTTTTAATTCTTTGGATTTCTCTCTTCAGTTGCTGTGTTGCGTTGTTAAGTCTATTTTTATCAGCTGGAGATCTACATTGATGCCAGATCCTTAGTAAGTTAATTGTTTAATTAGGTAACCCTACAAACAAGTTTTATAATAGACGATTTCCCATCTATTACATTAGCTTCTTTTAATAAGTAATTTGTTTATTTTACAAACATCTAATTGATCTTGCAATAATTGATTATCCATATCTGATAACCTATCTTTCATAAAGCAACGTGCTTTCATCAAAAGTCGCAAAATAGGGAGATCTCCCATCAACAAAATGGAGAAAATGGAAGAAAATGTACAAAAAATTAGGGAAATGATGACAGGAGTGAGTATAAAGATAGAAGAACAATCAAGAGAAGGCGTATAAATATAGCTATACAAGCCCTGAACATAGATACAAATGTCCCAGAGACTCTAAAACATTTGGGTACAACAAAGAATCAATTTACGGTTGTAAAAGGCTTGAGATAGGAAGATCCTTTATACACTACATTATTCAACTTAGTGTTAGAAACTGTAATCAGAAAATGCAGGATGAAGGTGGAAGAAACGATCATAAAAAATGAGCACCAGTGCTTGGCATTTGCTGATGATCTAACGATCCTAGCAAAAACCGAGAAAGACTTAAGAAGAGTTGTGAAGAAATTCATTGAAGAAGCAGAGAAATTCGAATTGGTACTAAATGAAGACAAAACCAAATATATGATCATGGGATGGGCAGAAGGGAAAAAAGAAGACTTTAGTGTGAGGTCTGTAAGTGGTAAAGGCTGTAGTTTTAACAGGGTGGACAAATTCGAATAATTGGATGTGTAGTTTTCGATGAAAATGGAAAAGAGAAATGGTAGCAAGCCAAAATTAGGGAATAAAAAATTAAGTAGTTTAAGAGCCCTACTGAACTCAACATACGTTTCTAGACAAGGTAAACTCAGAATATATAAAACAGTATTCGATCCACAGTAACATATGCCGGTGAGACATGGACATTAAATAAGAAGGAAGAGGATACTCTGGAAAGATGGGAAAGGAAAATATTGAGACGCATATTCGGAGGACGGAAGATAGAAGATGGTTGGGAGAGAAGAACCAACAATGAATTAATCGCTTTATACAAAGGACCTACCATTACCAAGTTCGTCAAGTCACAAAGAATCAGATAGTTGGGACATGTGGAAAGAATGGCAGCAAACAGAATGCCTAAACTAGTAATAACCAGAAAACTAATCGGTCCCAAAAGAAGAGGCACACCTAGAACGAGGTGGATTAGTAAAGTGGAGGAAGACCTTAAACACGTGAAGGTGAGGGACTGGAAAAGAAAAGCACAAAATAGAAGCGAATGGAGAAATATTGTCCACCAGGTCCTTCAGAGTAGTTAAGAATGTTGTATATACATATTTAAGTTAAAGTTTTGTTTCAAATACTTGTAATTAGTTAATATTAGGATTGTTTAAAAAAAATGCCCTTGGCCTTAACGGCCTGTTGTGCGTTAAAATAAAATATCTGATAAACTGTTAATCTGATAAACGATTATCCATATCTGATAAACGTGTATCGATGAATAAACAAGTTGTCTTCAAAGACCATTGTCTTTGGAAATAATTAATCTGGAACTTTGCTGTTAGATGGCGCCATGCTCAGAATAATTTAATTGTTTTTTCCTAATAATTATCGCGAATTAAGAATTAATTAACTCGAACGTATGGAGCGCAGAATGACAATGGAGTATGGAAAAGACGATACAACTTTGAAGTTTATAGAATATTCCAGGAACCAGATATCGTAAAATATATTGATAGGACGTCTGAGATGGATAGGGCATGTAATGCGAATGGAAAATTACCCAGCTAAAAAAACGCTGTTTGATAGACCCATTGGTCAGAGAAAAAGAGGAAGACCCAGAACAAGAACCCCTTGATAACATCGAAGAAGACATGAAAAATATGGGACTACCTGCTTGGCGGAGGAAAGCGATGGATAGGAACGACTACAGAGAAATTCTTGAGGGGGCTAGGCCCACGCCGGGTTGTAACACTAAAAAGATGATGATAATGTACAAACGATTTTCTATCAATAATACTAGTTTTTATCTAAAAAATAAGTAATTTGCATTTCTATATTGGCTAGAGCTACGCTCAAAAATAATTAATTCATTGTAAACTAATTAATTGGCCTACAAAACAACTGACCCATTACAATCATGTACTAATTAACTACAATCGATTCCATGCATATTCTCATTATTCTTGAAAATTTGTCGTCCTACCACATGGGGGTCTAAAAAATATATTTTGAAAGCCTGAATTTGAATATTTTACTATTATTTATTTATGTATTATTAGATTTCACTTCAATAAGAATAAAATTATAATCGATTAATCTCCGTAATCATCGAGTGAACGAAAAGTAACGAATGAACTCCATTTCATTTTCATTTCATTCCATTCCATTCCACCTTCAGTCGATGGTCGATGTCGATATTGAACGTCAACTGTCACACTGAATGTGACGTGTGCTGTTTATTTATATTTTAATCTTTAAATTACCTAAGATCTAAGATGATTCCTATTGTATAAAAAATAAATAACACAGCATAGATAGATTCTCAAATATGGACCCTAGTGAAGATATGTGCAAAAGTCTCGCCAAATGGTTACAAAAAATCGTTCCCAATAAAACAAGGTCCATTCCTGAAATATGTGATGGGGTTGGAATGGTGGATGCTCTACTTCAAATCTCACCTGAGCATTTTAGTAAACTTGAATCAAAAATTAAGAGGGACGTTGGAGCAAACAACTGGCGTTTAAGAATAAGCAATTTAAAAAAGATTGTGGAAGCTGTGATAGAATTTTACCAAGATGTTCTTACACTACAAGTATTAGATATAGGAGTTCCTGATGTCAATCAGATCGGGGAAAATAACGATCCTGTTCAGTTAGCAAAACTTTTGAGATTAATTTTGGGTAGGTGTCATCTTTTTTATGAATCAAATTTAATTTCTTTTTCATAATAATTATGTGTCACACTTTTTCATGTGTTTAAATTATTGATATGTTCCAATCATCTTCCATATTGTTCTTGAATTGTCCGTTTTCTATTGAATTTAATTGTAGCTGTAGTTTATATTTGTTATTACCTCTAGGAAAATTTTGTTTTATTAATTATAAATGTTTGCTCCAGGTTGTGCAATAAATTGTGAGAGAAAACAAGAATATATTACTATGATCATGGAAATGGAAGAATCTATTCAGCAAAATATTATGCAGGCAATTCAACAACTTGACGAGGTTACAGGAGGACAAGGCCGTTCAGGTTTGAGTCTATTAATTTTAGATAGTGATACAAGAGTTATGAAGCTAGTCAGTGACTTGGAATCATCAAATAAGTCAAGAGAAGCTCTAACACAACAAGTAGAAACTTTGGAACAACAAATACAAACTCTTTTAGATGAAAAGAGGTTGCTGCATGAACAAAACCAGATGTTAATTGAAAAGGAGGCTAAAAATCCCCAAGAAAACATAAGGAAGCAATTAGAATCCCTAAAGGATGAGCTCTTTAAATCTGAAGTGATAAGGGAAGACTTTAAAGGAAAACTTTTTGAACAAGAGAAACAAATTCTTACCTATCAAGAAAAGATCAACGAACTTCAAATAACTGCTAATGAATCAGCTAAATTGAAAGATGAAATAGATGCTTTAACAGAATCTGCAGGAAAGGTTGTGGATCTAGAATTAACAGTGGCATCATATAAAAAACGCCTGGAAAACTACCAGGATATAAAGAGAAATCTACAAAAGCTAGAAGAAAAACAAATGGAATACATCCAGAAAAATATGGAACTTGAAGAAGAATTGTCAAAAAACAGTACTTGGAAAGCACAATGTGAGGTGTATAAAAACCAAATAGTAGAATTACAACAAAAGCTTGATGAAGAAGCTCAAAAAGCTGACAAAGCTACATTTAACTTGGATAAAATTAAAGCCAAATTAATTAGTTTACAAGGAGAAAAGGAAAGATTGATTCTAGAAAGAGATACTTTAAAAGAAGAAAATGAAGAATTAAAGCTTGGTCCAAGGGAAAGTGGAGCAGCTGTTTCCCAAGAACTTACCCCAACAGAAATGGAGAAAAGACTTAAGCTTATGGAAAAAGAAAATAAAACACTTAGAAGTTCTAGTCAAGAAATGGAATCAAAACAACTACAACTTGACAGTGCTCTTAATAGGATTGAGAAACTTCAACAAAAAAATCGAACACTAAATCAGACAGTATTAAAATTAGAAGCACAAGTCGAAGAGCTTAAAACACAGCAATCAGAAATTCAAGGAACTTCTAGTGGCAGTTCAATAGTCAAAGAGTATAGGCAAAAAATACTTGCCTACCAGGAAGCATTAGCATCTAAAGACAATGAATTACAATCTTTACAAACTAGATACAACAGAAATGTCGGAAGAGCTCGTGAAGTAGCACAACAACTTGAATTCAAATCGAATGGCGATTCTGAGAATGCTTCACTAAGGCAACCTACCATGAAAGAACTGGAAGAGCGGTTGATTACTGCTGCTTTTAATAAACTAAGTCTGAATTACCACAGAGAAAGTATGGATGAGAGATTAAGCGTTTTACATGGAGGACAAGGACAATCTTTCTTATCGAGACAAAGGCAGCCTACTCCGAGAAAACCCGTACAGAGATTTAAACCTAAATAAGAAAATTACGTTAGTCTATTGAGTGAAAATAATTTATTTTATTCTAGTTATGCACGAGTTGTAAAGATTTTTATTTATTTTAGATTTTAGTGGGAAAGAATGTTATTCCCAACTATTTTTATTACATATATATATATATATATATATATATATATATATATATATATATATATATATATACATTGCTGTTCAAGAAGTATAATGACAAAACCATAAAATTTTTTAAACAGACTTTATTGTGTTTGAAGGATCAAAACTGCATATCGTCGTTAGGAATGAAATATCTCCAATGTAAAAATATCCTAATTTTACAGGAGACACAAAAAACAGTTAAATAACGCTATTTTATATTGTATTAAATTAGTAATTGATTTTTTTGGCCAAACTAAGATTGATATTGATATTAAGGTGAAATTGATTCCTTAAGTCAGTACAAAACATTAAACTAATAAAAAAAATATTACAAACGCGCACATTGGATAAATTATAAATGATTGAACCGGTACATAGCAGGAATTTCAAATATTGTGTATGGCATGTCATAGTACTATACACCTTGAATTTGGTGTTATTAGGGGAAAAAAGAGTCATATAAACAGTAAAGTGATTTGTATTATCTTTATTTTAAATAAACAAACTTCGACATGTAGTATCAGTGTATGATATTTTTACAAACACCACCGAAAGTATTATTTTTTGTTGATTTTAGGAAGAGTATCGTAAAAGTGATGATGGTCTTTTTCAAAACTGATTTGAGGTCTTGCAGATGTTTGAACTTGTCTTCTGATATTTCAGGAGGTGTCTTGAAGAGCGAGTTTTCATAAACCGACAGGTTTTGGCTTTCTCTTCTGTGTGGTAGTAGCTTCCAGTTATCTGAGTAATCAGTGGTGTAGTATACCTCTTCATTGGGACTATATTTTAATTGTCTTATATCTACAACTTGCGAATCTTTGGCATTTTTTCCAGGTCTTATTGAACGAAAGTTACTGTCAATAGCGTACTTTTTAAAGAACGTAAAATCTACGTTTTTAATATTATACGGATGTTTTGGCCGAGCAAGATGCATTCTAGCAATGTAATCCATCGGTGAATTAATTGGAGTCTGAAAGTAATGTTCCAAAGTTAAATGAACTCAATCGGCTTCCATCATAGTATGACCTTTTTCAAGATATAACTACTGTATTGTAAGGGATTTTGCTCTTACTGAATCACTTAAAGCACTAGCCAGAGTTCTTTTCGATTTTGGTAGTTGCATCCATCTGAGATGAATACAAGAGTTTGATAGTTAGCAGGAATATTATTTATATAATCTATAAGACAAGATGTAAATTCATTGCTACTGACTCCACCATTTGCTTCATGCCAAACGTACAACTGGACATCTTCATCATGTAGAGAATAAATGGTGAAGTTGTGTACTTGGAGTTTGAGCTTATAATACGATTGGTAAGCTAATACTTTTGGACACGTTAAGAAACTTTGAAGATCAACTGTGAGAACCAATTTTTTCAGAATTTGCGCTACTTTTTAATAACTCTTTTGCCCGTCTTTCTTCTTTCTGCTTTGACATGTGCTGATCATAATCTTCAGTACTTATTGTCTTCATTTTATGTGCAACACACGTATCACATTGATCTTTCCTTTGCTTATGTATGCCAATTTTCTCTGCTTCTAAAACAACTTTAAACAACTTGATATGAGCAACTGACTGCTTTCTATCATCGCACCATTCTTTATATAGTCTGTACATATAATTTGTTGTTATAATACTGTTGTCAATATATCTGCTAGTAGATGCTCTACAATAGTGTGAAGGAACTTTAGGAATATCTTGCAACCATTCATTAACATTCTTTTCTTTGCAAATTTGTCTCATTTTTCTTGGAGTAATCTTGTTGAATGTTGGAATTTTGTAGACTTTCACTAGAAGTATTAATTTCATGAGTGGCTGGCTCCCTTGAGACCCATCATTTCATTGTGTCTTCTCCTAAATTTAATGTGTTCAAAAACATAACTCGGCATACCTTGAGGTAACTTCCGTCTTTAGAAATAAAAAAAGTCACGAGCACTCTTCTTTTTGGACCGTTTGTCTGAATTTTGAGTATCTTTTCGGCGCCTTTGCACTGCTCTTGCCCGAACAAGATTTTAACATAAGTGCTTTTATGTTCCCACGACGGTAATATCCATTTTTTTTTAAAAATTCGTAGTCTATCGTCCTGCGTAATTAAAGAACGTCTGAATGAGTGTTCTTTTAAACATTTTGGCGTTATAATATGGTTACATAGCTCCTTTACTGACTTGGCTTCTCCTTTAACATTATGTGTCACTATACTATTTTCTCTCTTATATCCTAGATAAGATTTGCCTTTTAATCTCTTGAGCGCACTTTCCTTCTTTCTTTGTGATTTTCGCTTTTTTGGGTTGTCTTCTGATATTGAAATCATTTCTCTTTCATCCTTTTCTTTACCTTCCGTTAGTTCTTCTCTTCTAATGAGATGAAAGATATCTAACCGTAGTAGTGAATTTGTTTACATACCTGTTTTTGGATTTTTCATTATAAATTTCATTTTCAATAGGAACAAAAGTTTGGATATAATTTTGCCGATCTTCCTTAAGTGAATTTTGTACAACTATTTTAGTTCTTGTCTTGAAAACACTCATTTTGCACTGGTAAATAGCTTATTTGAGAACATTTGAGGATAGGAATTTGACAGATGAAAGTATGAAATACCTCCAATTTGCAGATATTATAATAGATAATAGCTCCAATGTGTTTTTTAAGCACATTGGATTTATTTCAGTCCAACAATTAATAATATGTTACATTGGAGTAATACATTGTTAGACATTAGGGAAGTTAGGAATCGGTACGCACATTGGATATTTTTCTAGACTTTAAAACTATTCATAGCGATTCAGAATAGTTTAAAATCTGAATTACCAGAAATTTGCACATTGGAGGTATTTCATTCCTAACGACGATATTCTACATATTTGTAAATCATTGTAACTGTACTTACAAATTTCACCAGGACCAGTGATTTCGTAAGTACAATTATGATGATTTAAAAATATATAGAAAATGCAGTTTTGATGTCTCCAACACAATAAAGTCATTTTTCAAAATTTTACAATAATTATGTCATTATATTTCTGGCTGGAACAGCAATATATAAATAATGTGTGTGTGTACTATATATTCTACATTTTATGTAGTCATAACACATTTCTATTATGAATCACTGTATACCCACTGATTCTTGGTACTAATTATAAAGAATAAGGAGGTATACCTAAGACAACACAGATATTAACCAAAAACCGAAATATGTTTTAAACAGTACTAATTTATTAAAAATTTTTTAATAATAATATACCTACCAAAAAATGTTTTAATTTTTTTACTAAAATTTATTTTATTATATATTATATATTATATAAAATATGTGTCTCATTTAAAAGTAAAATAGGAATGCTTAAAAACTTTTCAAAATCTTTGTTAGTGCCAAAAATTAAAAAAACTAGAAAATAAATGGTAATTGAAGTAAGTGAAATGAACTAAAAGCATTGTTAATAATTAGGTAAACAAAACCTTTTTTACAAATGGACTAGGAATGACTTTTGAAATTTGACTGTTGGTCCAAAGAGAAAGTATTCAGAGAATGATATGGATAAATGCTGGGACTTGATTAATTGATTTTTTAACATAGTTTTCAGGTCCAGTTTACAAGTGGGCATGCTTATTGTAGGATTTTCAAAGTCATTCCTAGTTTTGACCATTTCAGTATTAATACAGTAGGAAAAAATTCATCCTGGGAAAACATTAATTGCACATATTGTACTTCAATTATGTTGAAGTTATATTTATAATTCAATTATGTTAGATGAAGAATTATATATTGTATTATAATATATACTAATTTGTTGGCTAACAGTGGATGTAACAGTTTACATATTAAAGGATCCACAGTTAAAATTCCAATTTAACTGTGTCAATAGTCTATGTCACTATTTCTTCAAACTATGTTCTGAGGGGTGTTTCAAGATTGGATTTAAATTTGATTACATTACAGTAATGTTTGCTTTCATTTTTGTTGTCCTTTTTCTTTTTACCATTTTCTTACATTGCTTTTATTATTTCAAGTATATTGTACAAATCTCATAAACAGTACTGATTTTATTTTCTAGTTTTTTTATTTTTAAATAAAATGATATATACTCCATTAAAATCTTAACAGTATTGTGATATATTTAAAGATGCATATTATATAATAAAGAATACTTAACTTTGACTTTGAACAGGTTGTTGTACTATTTTATAACGAATGGTATTAAATAGCTATATTTTAGATTTGTTTTGATTGTGTATCCTTCTCATTATTAGTCTAGGTTAAGATATCTTTTGCCTTACTACGAAATATATTTTAGGCACTTTAACCATTTGTACCTAAATGTAACTGTTTGAACTAGATATTTAAATTGCTTCTAAAAGTTTTTATCAATGACATTTTTAGATGATCAGACATTTTCTTATGAGTAGTAGAGTATCATGAAGATATTCATGAATTAACTTAATAAATTTTATGCTTTGAGATTTTAAATTACTGGACCAAATTTAGTTATATGAAAATTTATATATTTTAAGTAAAATAGTAAATATATTTTATGTTTAAATTAAATGTGTTATATATTCCCAACCTTGTATCTTTGGCCAAGTAATATAAAAACACAGACAAGAAGATTGCTTGAATAAGCCTATGATTTCAGTGACTAACTTAGATGTCATTCTAGAATATTTCAGAGATATTCATACAGAGCTTATTATTGAAGTCAACCTCAAACCCCACCATACCATTCGGGGTAGTAGAGATACAAAGAACAGAGGTAAGATGCTTTTTGATTACCTTTGCACTACTGAAATCAATTTGTTGAACAATGGAATAGCAGAATCACTGATTGACTTAAGTCTATGTTCTATGGGGATTGGGATATGCTATCTAACTGGCATGTGTCTGATGCGATATTCTTATTGGATCATGCATTCATATGCTTTGGGATAAATTCAGTTAAACTGTACCCAAGGTTTTACAGAAACTCTAGGGTGACCGATTGGGAATCATTTAGGATAGATCTTAAAACAAGGGTTCGGAATTATCCTAAAAGACCCAAAAACAACATTGAGGTTGAACTGGCATTAGTTGCAATATGCAATAGTTGCCTAAAATGAAGAAAATTGCTTATTCAGAAAAGCAGCAACTGA